AGAATGAAAAGCCTAATACCAGACAGTTTCACTGGTGAATTCTACCAAATGTTTAATGAATTAACTAATTATTCACAGTGCTTCCAAGAATCAGAAGAGGAGAGACCTCTGAACTATGAAGCAAATATTACCCTGAAAGTAAAACCAAAGACAAAATAAGATTTCAAAACTATATAGATGAATATCCCTTATGAATACAGATGAAAAAATCCTCAATAAAATACTAGCAAACCAAATCTAATGATATATAAAGAAGAATTAGATTCCACAACCATCTGAGATTGGTAGTTTTAACATCTTAAAAATCATCAATGCAATATACCATATTAATAGATTAAAAAAGTAAAAACACATGAGCATCTCAGTAGATACATATAAAGAGCATTTGAAAAAATCCCACACCCTTCGATTCTAAAAATATTGAACAAACTAGGAATAAAAGGAAACTTTGTCAACCTGATTAATGGCAGCTATGAAAAACCCACAGCTAACATTGTACTTAATATGTGAAAGACTAAAACACTTCACTCTAAGGTCATGAACAGGACAAGGATATTCCCAGTGTTCACTGTATTCAGTATCATGCCAAAGATGTTAGACTACATGGTGAGCAAAGGTTGTAAAGGCAGAAATAAAACTATGTTTTCAGCTGTCTGTCTTTATCTAAATAGAGAAAATGTACATATGTGCACGTGCACATACAGAGAACTAATAAAGTTCAACAGGGTTGCAGGGTACAAGATCAATATACAAAAATAAATTGTATTTCTGTTGTTTCTTAGGCACAAATGTAATAAAGGGAATGCAAAACATGTACATTGAAAAGTATGAAACATCACTTAAAGAAATTACAAAGATGCCAAAATCTTCCAATGGAGTAAATGGTGCTGGGACTACCAGACATCTGCTTGAAAAGTCACATCATGTTCAAAAATTAACTCACTATAAATTTGTAAGCTAAAACTGTAAAATATAAAACTCTCAGAAGAAAATAGGGGTATAAATCATCATGACAGACAAGTGTTTTATTTTATTTATTTGAAAGATTTATTTATTTGAAAGAATTTAGAGAGAAAGAGAGAGAGAAAGAGAGAGAGAGAATGAATGGGTCTTCTATCCACTTGTTCATTTCCCAAATGGCCACGATGGTCAAGGCTAGGTCAGGCTGAAGCCAGCCTGGAACTCCATCCAGATCTCCCGCATGGGTGCAGGGGCCCAAGTACTTGAGCCGTCTTCTGCTGCTTTTCCAGGTGCATTAGCAGGGAGCTGGATCAGACTCAGAGCATTTGGGGCATAGATGTGACATATGGGATGCTGGCATCACAGGCAGAGGCTTAACTTGCTGTGCCACAATGGTGGCCCCAGTAGTTTTTTTCAGATATGGTGCTAAAGAATAGAGCAATCAGAGAATAAGCAGGCTGTTGCATGTCTTTCACCTAGCAGTTAAGATTCTGGTTAAGACTTACCTTGCAGGGGCCAGCGCTATGGCGCAGCGGGTTAAAGCCCTGGCCTGAAGCGCCAGCATCCCATATGGGTGCCTGTTCTAGTCCCGGCTGCTCCTCTTCCCATCCAGCTCTCTGTTGTGGCCTGGGAAAGCAGTAGAAGATGGCCCAAGTCCTTGGGCCCCTGCACCCACATGGGAGACCTGGAAGAAGCTCCTGGCTCCTTTGGATTGACGCAGCTCCGCCTGTTGCGGCCATCTGGGGAGTGAACCGTCGGATGGAAGACCTCTCTCTCTGCCTCTACCTCTCTGTGTAACTCTGTCTTTCAAATAAATAACATAAATCTTTAAAAAAAAATGACTTACCTTAGAGTGCCTGGATTTGATACTTGGCTTCAACTCCTGACTCCAGCTCCTATTGATATAGACCCTGGGAGTGATGGCTCAAGTAACTGGGTTCCTGCCACCCATGTGGGAGACCTGGGTTGAGTTCCCAGCTGTCGCTCCCCATCTTCGCGGAGGAACGACACAGGACCCTGCGCTGTTCTTTTGTCTGCTCGGCCCTTCCCGGGTTTGCTGCTGGTTCTTCCCGGGTTGGCTGCCGTCCCTCCACCTCCGTGGAGGGGCGGGCCCCCCTGCCACTTTCCCCACTTCCGCGGGGGAGCGGCACACGGCCGGCCGGCTCTCTCGGGGGCTGCTCAGATGTTCCACAGGTGTTCCTTCAGATGTTCCTGGTGCATGGTGTCTCTCCTCCTTTATAGTCCTCCTCCACCAATCCCAACTCTGCTACCCACACGCCGAGTACGCTGCTCTCCTCCAATCAGGAGCAGGATCAGCTCCTGCAGGTTACTGGTCAAACTGGAGGCAGCTGTGTAGAAGCTGTTTACTCCTCTCCCAGTGCCATATTGTGGGAGAGCAGATGCATAGAATAAGTCTTAATTTCAGTAACTTAGTCTAGTCCTAGTTGCTCCCCACACCGGCTCCTGGCTTCAGGTTAGTCCATCGCAGCCTCTGCCATTGCAATTGTCATTTAGAGAATGAACCAAAAGGTGAGATCTCTCTCTCTCTCGCTTGCTCTTGCTCTCTCTCTCACTCTCTCTTTCTTTCACATCCATAAATGAAAAAAACTTTTAAATAGGCCAATTGGACTTCAAAAAATAAGAAAATTTTATGCTTCCATGAGAAATTTCGAGAAAGTACCAAGACAATTCAAATAATGGGAGAGAATACTTGCAAATACAGTATTCATAATATCTAGTGAATTATATTTATAATGAATATATCAATAAATATATTTAAATATATAATTAATTATATATATTATAACTTAATAATAAAAACTTAAACCCATTTTCAAAATAGGCAAAAAGAATCCAATAAACATTTCTCCAAATTTCATATATGTGTGTGTGTGTGTGTGTGTGTGTGTGTGGATACCAAGAGATATTTCAATGTCTTTAGTCATTAAGAAAATACAAATCAAACTCAGTGTGATACCACTTCACTTCTACTAAATTGGTTATAATAAAAATAACAGATAATAATAAGTATTGGTCAGAGGTAGAGAAATTAGAGCTCACATTTATTCCTGTTGGGAATGTACACTCATTTTGGAAAGTACTTTGGCAGTTGCGCCAGAGGCTTTAACAGAGTACATATGGCCCAGCAATTCTACTCCTAGATATATGCCTGATAGTACTGACAACATGACCACAGAATAAAAATGTTTCTGTACATTAGTGTCTATTGCAACATTATTCGTAGTAGTCAAAAAAAGGGAAATAACCAAAATATCTATTATCTGATGAATTCATAAAGAAAGGTAGCATATCAATACAACCAAATCTTACTCAGTCATAACAAGGGAATAGCATACTCATTCCCACAGTATGGACAAACCTTGAAAACTTCAAGCCAAATCTTGTCAGGGATGAGATGAGAAGCTAGTCGTAAAAGGCCATATTGCATGATTCCAGTTATCTGAAAACTCTAGGATAGAAACATTCATTCCTCTAGAAAATAGATTCTGGCTTCCTGAAGGCAAGTAGGCAGGGGCATGGAGAGTGACATCTCATATGTATGGGGATTCTTTTTGGGGGTGATGGAAATATTTTGGAATTAGATAGCTGTGATAATTGTACAACTTTGTGAATGTACTAAAACCCACTAAGCTGTACACTTTAGAGTTGGCAAATTTTATATGTGAATTAAATCTCAGTTTTTATTTTAAAAATGGAGCACAGGAGAAATTGGCTTTATCTGTTTCTGGAGAATGCACGTGGGTTTTCTGGCTCCCATGCGTTCCTCAAATAATTGCCACTTGAAATAGATTTAGCAGCTGGAGGAACAGTTTGTCCTACCTATTTTGTTCTATGAAAATCTTTATCTCTTATGTTTTGGATCTTTGGGCTAGAATAATAATCCTTCATGAACTTTATTCAGAAGCCTCCCCAATTATTTATTTATAAGTCCACTGAATGTTATTCCTCCCACGGTCATTTGGGCTATATTTGGTCATGTGGAGAGTAAGATAGACCTGTATATTATGTGCCCTTGAACAAAAATTAGCTCACCTCATTTGAACCTTAATCTGCTTTTGCAGTTTCTGCATCTCAGATTGGTGAAGACTAAAATGAGATAATAGGTTTTAAGTAGCTGTCACAGTGCCTGGCCTGGCTCAGGCCTATGTTAATATTAGATTCCTTCTTCTTTCCCTCCATTATAAAGTTTACTCTGGTAAGAAAGCACCTTCATTAGAGGTGAGAGTTTGTGTTTCCTTATGAGACAACACAAGCCGTTTTCATGGATTCCCCAGCGTGGTGTTGAGAGAATTGCAGAATGTCAGCATTAGTTTGTGACAGATGTGCATTGTTAGTGCTACCTTGGAGGCTATGTGACTTCCAGTTGTGCTGAGCAGCAGAGAACTTAATTAAGGCCGAGCCCAGCCTCCCTCACAAAGCTTTTCAATTCTTGATTTTCAGCTAACCTTCCATATTTTTAGCTCATCCTTAGTATCAGCTTTTGATATACAGTAGTGAAATGCTTAACAAAAAACCCAGAATAATGAATTCAGAGGCAGGCCCAGGTTCCTATTGTCTTGGTGATGTTTTATTTATCATTAGACTGTGTAAATGCATTGTGGATTACCCTTCTCAAGATATACATTTAGTTTACCCTTGTGTTCCTTCTTCTTCCTTTTAAAAAGAATTTGAATGAGTGGTTAATGCATGTGAAAGATACTGCACAGAAGAAGAGGTCGCTACCACACAGGCTCTTTTTAATTATGCTTCTCTGAGCAGGCAGAGACCTTCCCAGAGTCTCCAGCTGTATCAACAGGAACTACCCTTTCTGTAGACAGAATGATTTGGGGTTGTATTTTAGGAAGCTGAAACTGCTGAGACAAATGCAAGGGTAAATTCTGTGTTGGCTTTTTTTTTCCTTCTCAGGAGCTATTGAGTTTGACCACAGGAAACCTGACACTGTCTCCTTCATTGTCATTTCTAAGCAGACGGAAATAAACGTACAGACATATAATCTGTGCCCTTTCTCCCACATCTAGGAGCGGAAAAAGAAATTTGAAAAGGATGGGGAAAGGTTTTATTCTTTGCTGGACCGGCACTTACACTTGTCATCCAAAAAGAAAGAATCTCAGTTACAAGAGGTATGTTCACTAACTACGCTTGCCCTCCATTGCCAACTGTGCCTTGGAAACAGAGGCACATGTCTGTTGCAAGGCTTCCCCAATACCCTGTGTCAGCAGGAAACCAGGTGTGGTAGTTGTACTCACAGTTAAAACTTGGGATTCATAAGCCCTGAATTCTTGAGGCAGCTCCTCGACACTGTGACCAACGACAGTGTCGCCTTGGATATCTTGCTTCTTTCTTGCTCTCAGTTCCCCATGTGCAAACAGAGGAGTGCTACTCACTGGTCTCAAGTCCTTTCAGTTCCAGGTCTCTGACTGTAGATTCCACACTAGCATATGGTTATGTTGTTGTGGCATTTGGCAGATCACTAACGTATCTTCTACTTTGCCCCTTAGATAGTCCATTACCATTTTTTGGGTCCTGTTCTGGGACTACTACTTACACGGGACTTACTGTGGCTCTGATTCAAATAAGCCACCATTTGTTGAGAGCCTGTACTCTACTGGGCACTATGTTGGGAGCAGCAGGACTGCAGAGTCAATAAGATATCCTTCCTGCCCTTGTGTGCTGGTCTTACTGGGGTGGGCAAGTGGAGAATAGAAGATTTACATTTGGATATGGCGAATTTTCTTTGTGGAAAAATGTTGCCCTTCCAACTTGAAGTGGTCATTTAAAAATAGCTAAAGTTTTGGGTTTTTTAAAAGATTTGTTTATTTATCTTGAAAATCAGAATTACAGAGAGAGAGAGAGAGAGAGAGAGAGAGAGATCTATCCTCCATATGCTGGTTCACCCCCCTAGATGGCTGCAGTAGCTAATGCTGGGCCAAGCCAAAGCCGGGAGTTTCATCTGGGTCTCCCACATGGTTGGCAGGGGCCCATACACTTGGGACATCTTCTGTTTTGCTCAGGTAGGTTAGCAGGGAGCTGGATCAGAAGTGGAGCAGCTGGAACATGAACTGTTTCCTGTACGGGATGCCAGCATTGCAGGTGGCTTTACCTGTTACACCACAGCATTGGCCCCAAAGTAGCTGAAGTTTTTGACAGGAAGAAATGGAACTTTCAAATGGAAGCCAATGGCCCATTGGTAAAATGTGGAGGCTGTTTAGGAAATGGTTTGGCTAGAATTTGCATTACTACCAGAGGATAGTAAGAGACAAAATAAGATCAGGCGAGTTGAGGCCACATTGTGGTGTACTAGGCTCAGGAGCGAGTTTGTGTTTAATTCTGTGGGCACTGGGTGAATCATTGAAGGCTTTTGGTCATGTAAGCAACATGTGTAGAATTATGTTTTTACGAATCCTAAGCTGGCAGAGGTTGTAGGATGGGTTAGATCAGGAAAACACTAGTAGCAGGAAAATCAGTTTTAGAAATGAATGCAATGATCTGGAGAAGAGGGTCTTCGACAGAAGTGTGGTAATGGGGAAGGGAAGGAAGCAATTCACTGATGAAGAACTTTTTTTTAATGGAACAAAAATCTAGTAAAATGTGGGGACATTGAATATTCAAGTATGACAAGAGATCTGCTGGAATAAGATCATAAACATGAACTGTAAAGGTACTTAGAAATAATCTTGTCCAGGATCACACAGATTGTGGCGGAGCTGGAACTCACCTCCTGATTACTGGTTTAGTGGGTTTCCATCACATTGTCATAGGAGCTTGATGGTGAAAGGTTAAGGGTTGTAGTGGTGGATGGAGTCAGGTATTGAAAAGCAGAAGGATTACTTCTCATCTATAAACTGAAATCAAGTCTGCGGTCTTCTACCATTTTTCTTTGCACCCTTTTGTTGTATACCTTTCCTATCTCTTTGTGCAGAACAGGGTTAATTATAGCACACCGGAGACTACTGTGCTTAGAAGAGCCTGTGTATAAGATTAGCTCGTGGCTGGCACCTGGGAATCTGACTGGTAAACAGTTGCTTACATTAATATAAAAGTTTCCTTAAATGTTAAGAGTGGCTTACTGTATGTAAAATACCTGCACAAACAATGTGGCTTATGTTGAATACCTTCTTTTCTTAGGAGAGTCTAGAATTTTGGGGTGTGCTCAAGCAGAGGGTGTCGTGTGACTAGCCCCTAGAAAAACCTAGGATGTTCCATCTCTGATGAGCTTCCATGGTAGCATTTTACCTGTGTTGTTAGAACTTGTTAAATGAATAATTGTGTCCTGTGTAATACCACTTAAAAATCTCTTGGCACATTACACCTCATTTCTTCTGGACTTGGCCCCGTGTAACTTTTTGCTTCTCTGGTTTTTCTTTGTGTACTTTCATCGAAATAAATCTTAGCTCTGAGTATGATTTTATGCTGAGTCCTGTGAGTCCTCCTAGAAATTACCAAACTAGGGGGAGTGTTCTAAGAGTTTGGTAATATATATAGCTATCCCTGGGGCTTTCTTGATTTTCAAGAATGCAGTCTTTATATTTGTTCAACCAAAAATTACCTGGGGGACATGGAGGAAAATTTAATTTTTTTTAAATTAAGAGATTTTATTTTTAGATCACTTTTTATTTTATAGAAAAATTGAATGGAAGGTGCAAAAAGTTTCCATATATTCCTAATCCTTCCCCCAACAGTCTCCCCTATTATTAATGTCTTGCATTACTGTGGAACATTTGCTATAACTGATGAACCAATGTATTGTATGCTCTATGGATTCTGATGAATGTGTTTTATATATGTCTACCTTTACAGTGTCATACAGGGTAATTTCACTGCCATCAAAATGCTTCAACTCTGCCCATTCATCCCGCCTTCCTCACTACAAACTGCTACCAACTAGTGATCTTTTTATGGACTCCATATTTCTGTCTTTTCTAGAATGTCATATAGTTGGAATCATAGTATGCAGACTTTTCAGATTGGATTCTTTCACTTGGAAATACATATTGAAATTTCCTCTCTGTCTTTCCATGTCTTGATGTCTCACTACTTTTTAATGTTAAATAACATTCCATTGTCTGGATATACCACTGCCGTTTTTAGCCATTTGCCTATTGAAGGGCATCTTGAATTTTTCTTGAACTTGGCACTTATTAATAAAGCTGTAAAAAGTTTCTGTGCAGGTTTTGTGGTTTCTTTGAAGTTTTTTTTTTTTTTTTTTGGAAAATACCAAAGATACTATGGTAAGAAGATGTTTAATTTTGTAAGAAATTGCCATGAATTGTCTTCCTACTGTTGAATTGTGTGCTGGCATTCTCTTGTGTCTCATTATGTTTTCTTAAAATTATTTTGAATTCTTTGTCAAGAAATTCATCAATTTCCATTTCTTTGTGGTCTGTTACTAGAGTTTTTATGTAACTTTGGCGGTGTCATGTTACTTTGGTTTTTCTCCTGCTTTTTCTGTCCCTTCCTTGATATTTGTACATCTGGTGGATCAGTTGCTTCTACCAATTTTACAAGATGGCTTTCATAGGAAGAGACTTTGTGCTAGCAGTATGTCCCTGAGTGTTGGTTGGAAATAATGTGTTGGCTTTGGTTACAGATATGCATTTTAGTGTAGTGTTCATGTAGCTTTCTCAGTTTCTCTTGTGACTTGTAGGGGCCAAAAGTGCATGGGAAAGGCTACTCTGCTACTTCCAGGGTAACAGGAGGGTAGACAGGGCTGCCTGACTGTTTTATAGGAGTGTCTTCAGGCTGATTCTTTCAGGTCATTGTCCATATTCTTCTTGGGACCAAGAGAGGTGGGAACATCCTCCAGACTGGGTCAACAGAACTTCTGAGTGCAGTTGCCTGGCTGCTTCAGAGCACCCTGTATTGATAGGGTCTCAAGATGGCTGCATTCAGCAAGAGTTTGTGTGGGGAAGGTGCAGTGTGGGCTGAGCTCTTTTCTCTGGGGCAGTGCAGCAGTGTGGTAACCTGGAAGCTTCCCAAGCCAGGCTCAGGGACCATGAGAGCCATGAAATTCTCCAGCAGCAAATGCCTCAGGTGTCTGTGGCAGGAGTAGGGACTTCCAGAGATCTCCTGCTTACCCTTTTCTTGCAACAAAGCCCATGTTGGTTCAAGTTTGATCTTGAGGGACAGAGCAGAAGGTCTGTGCTCAGTTTGCATTCTTTGTAAGTCCATAGTGTAGCTCCTTGCTCTGCAACATTTAGCCCTTCGCCTGCTTTCCTCTGCTCTGTGCTGCCCAAGGTTGGAACAGAGGTGGAGGAAGCCGTCCCTCGGCTTCTTGGCCGACAGTACCAGATGCTCAGTCTGTGGGAACCAGCCTGGGGCCAGGGGCTGTGGGGTTTTTGCTGGCACTGGGGTTCACTGTGGCCTGGTACTAATGCCTGTGCTTAATTCCCTCTCCTTCCCCCAAGTGGCATCTCTCTCTGTGCTGTGCTGCTTGGAGTTGGGAGAGGGCTGACATGGGTGACTCTTCCTGCTTTCTTCAATGTGTCTTTTCTCATTGTCATACTACAGCCAGGCACTATGGTCTCTCACCTGACTTCCCTATATCTTGGAAGGGTAGATGGGTGCTTGAATAGCTGCTCACATTCGTGTCTCCAAGGAGAGATGGCCTTCATTTTTTTTTTCTTAGTCTTTTTCTGCCTTTTCTTTCTTTATTTGAAAATGATATATGATTTCATTTTTTGTTCTAGCATGTCAATGATATTTCTTTCTTTTTAAAATTTAAATGGTTTCCCTAGTGCTTAAAATATGCATTAACAGTTAATCCATGTCTACTCTGAAATAAGACTACACTGCTTTATGGGTGGTATAACAACCTTATAATTTAGTTTTTCCTTCAGTCTTTTGTAATACTGCTGTCATTCTTTTCACTTATTTGTAAGTGATAATCATCAATTAAGAATAAGAAATATATAAAACATTACCTTCATTCATTCCTCATCTACTGTTGTTCTTTTTCTTGTATAGGTCTACATTTCTGATGTGCCTCATTTTCCTCTGTCTGGAGAACTTCTTTTAATATTTCTAGCAAGACAAGTCTAATGATGACAGATTCATTCAATTTTTGTTTATTTGGCAAAGTATTTATTTTCCCATCACTTTTGAAAGATATCTTAACTGTATACAGAATTCCAATTTGGTGTTTATTTCACCTTTCAACATGTTAAATATTTTGCTTCATTCTCTTCTTTTGCATGGTTTCTTAAGGGAAGTCGGATGTATTGCATATCCTTGCTCATCTAGATGTAAGCTTTTTTCTGTAGCTTCTTTCAAAATTTTATCTTTGTCTTTTTTTTTCTAACAATTTGAATATGATATGCCTACACATAGATTTTTTTTACATTTTTCCTTGGTGGTATAACCTGAGTTTCCTATATCTGAAGTTTGCTGCCTTTCATTTTGATAAATTCTGAGTCATGATTATTTCAAAGATTTAATTTCTCTATTTCATGTTGCAGTATTCTGAGCATACATATGTTATAACTTTTGTAATTTCCAGTAGTTCAGTAATTGAATTGAATATTTAAGTAGAAAAATTAGATATTCTACTCCATGTTATTCATTGTTTATTTTTCTTGTTACATTTAAGTTTTGGAATTTTCTGTTGATATTACTTCAAACTTACTAATTGTTTCCTCACTCATGTCCAATCTATCAGTGAGGCCTTTACAGGCATTGATTTCTATTATGTGTTCTTGATTTTAAGGATTTCCTGTGGATTCTTTCTTCCAGTTCATCCGTGTGCTAATAATAGCATCTATTCTTGCTTGTATTCTTCTTTGCCCGTTAAAGCTTTTATCATATTGATCATAGTTATTTTAAATTCATAGTTCAATAATTCCACAATATTTTCCATATCTGAGTTTCTGAGTTTGGTTCTGATGCTTGCTCTTTCTCTCCAGCTTTTTTTTTTTTTTTTTTTTTTTTTTTTTGTAGTTGAGCATGTCTTTCCATTTCTTGTTGAAAGTCAGAAGTGATGTTGAGATAAAAGGAACTGAGATAAATAGATCTGAGGTTTTATGTTTATCTGGCTGGGAATTAAGCCTGCTAAGTTTGCTGTACCTATAGTTGTCTGAGGCTAAAATTTCCTCTGCTATTCTTGTTTCTGCCTTTGGATTTCCTTAGAGTGTTCTTAAATAAGGTTGTAATCTCCCCAGTACTGGTCATAGCACCATAACTCTTGGGCTTCTGCTCTGGTAAGTCTTGTTCTCTGCATTCACCTCTCTATCCAGTTTTTGGAGGAGTTTTCCTTCTGACTTTAATTCTCTATTGGAGCTTAAAAAAAGTTATTGGCTTTCCTCTTACTTAACTTTTTTCTTGGTGTGGGAAAGGATATGATGACTTCTAGGCCTGATGCACATCATGCCAGAAACTTGAAGGCTTGGGTCAGTCACTTTTACCTCTTGGCTTCATATTCCCTATCAGTTGCATGAAGAATAGGATCACTAGTTGGCATTATATTCTCCTCTAGCTCTATATGTGCTGAAATTCAGGAATGACTGTGCCAATTTGTAATATTTGTTCCTGTCGGCAGGCAGACCTCCAGGTGGACAAGGAGAGACACAACTTCTTTGAGTCCTCCCTCGATTATGTTTATCAAATCCAAGAAGTTCAGGAGTCCAAGAAGTTCAATATCGTGGAGCCAGTAAGTTCTGTGTATTGATGAGTGGTCTAAAAGTATTTATGAAATGCCAGGTAAATATGGGAGAACTATGACCGTGAAACTGGAATCTCAAAGAATGAAAGGGAGTCAATGCTTAATAATGAATGTGTAGATCACTGTCACATTGGCTTATGTTTTTTTTCCTCTTCACCCTGTCTTCAATCCCTAATTTTCTCTCTCTATTACTGGGGTTTTTCTCTTTCCTTTCTTCTCTTTCCTTTCTTCCTTCTCTCAATTTCTGTAACACACTTCCTATTTTCTTCGCTTCCCTTCTTTCCTTTCATGCTTTTAGAAAGTTTCTTTACACATCATAAGCCAGGTACTGTGTTGGATACTCATATCCCTTGCACTCAATGACTTCCCAGTGTAGAGTTTTTGTTTCTACATTATGTAATTTTTTCTACTTCAGTCTCTAACATATTGCCAAAAGCAACATGCCAAATTCAATTTCAGAAGTATGCTTGATTTTATTTATTTTCAAATATTTTATCTATTTATCTGAGAGGTAAAGTTACAGACAGAAAGAGAAAGAGACAGAGAGAGAGAAAGGTCTTCCACCTGATGGTTCACTCCCCAAATGGCCACAGTAGCTAGAGCTGGGCCAATCTGAAGCCAGGAGCCAGGAGCTTCTTCTGGGTTTCCCATGTGGGTGCAGGGGTCCAAGGACTTGGGCCATTTTTCACTGCTTTCCCAGGCCATAAGCAGAGAGCTGGATCAGAAGAGGAGCAGCCAGGACCTGAATTGGCATCCATATGGGATGCCGGCACTGCAGATGAAGGCTTAGCCTACTACAGCACATCGTTGGCTCCATTTTATTTTTAAAGATTTGCTGATTTATATATTTGAAAGTGTTACAGAAAGAGGGAGGAGAGAGAGAGAGAGAGATAGAGAGAGAGAGAAAGAGAAAGAGAAAGAGAAAGAGAAAGAGAAAGAAAGAAAGAAAGAAAGAAAGAAAGAAAGAAAGAAAGAAAGAAAGAAAGAAAGATCTTCCATCTGCTTGTTCACTCTCCACATGGCCACAACAGCCAGAGCTAAGCCAGACTGGAGCCAGGAACTTCATCTCAGTCTCCCACATGAATGATGGGAGCCCAAATACTTGGACCATCCTCCATTGCTTTTCCTAGTCCATTAGCAGAGAGCTGCATGGGAAGTGGAGCAGCTGGGACGTGAATTAGCACCTTTATGGGATTGTGGTAATACAGGTGGCTACTTAACCTGCCATACCACAACACCAGCCCAAAGGGTGCTTAATTTTAATTTCATTTATTTGAAAGAGTGAGAGCAAGATATAGAGGCAGAGAGATAGAGGGAGGAAAGATGGGAGAGAGGATAAGGGGAAAGGGGTAGCAAGGGGAAGAGGGAGACCAATAGGTGGGTAGGGAAGGACAGAAGGATAGAGAGACACGAAAGGAAGGAGGGAGGGAGAAAAAAAGAAAGGGAGAGAGGGAGGGGGAGGGGGAGGGGGAGATCTTTCATCCACTGGTTCACTCCCCAATTGACCGCAATGGCTGGAGCTGCACTTATCTGAAGCCAGGAGCCAGGAGCTTCTTCCGGGTCTCCCACACGGGTACAGGGGCCCAAGGACTTGGATCATCTTCCACTACTTTCCCAGGCCACAGCAGAGAGCTGGATCAGAAGTGGAGCAGCCAGGACTTGAACTGGTGCCCACATGGATGCCGACACTGCAGGCAGCAGCTTTACCTACTACGCCACAGCACTGGCCCCAATGAGTGTTTTAAGCAGGGTATGATGGGCTCAGTTTTGTTATGTGGAGAATGGCTAGGAAGGGGCCACCAGTGGAAGTGAAGAAACCAGTTAGGAGACTGCTAAATGTAGGTAGAAGGAGGTGTGGATTTGAGTTAGGGTGGTAGAAATGAGACTATTCAAGAATGGCTGGATTAAAGATATATTTTGGGGGCAGACCTAGCAGGAATCACTGATGGATTCAACTAGAATGTGAGTGAAGGAGAAATTGGGGATGATTCTTTAGTTTCTGGCTTGAATGTCTGAATGAGTGATTGTATCATTTCCTGATAGAGTATAAACGATGTTTGAATGTCATATAATTTGGTCTATAGATAGTTATAAATATTGTCTTCACTGTATTATATCCTGTACATAGTAGTAAACTCCTCTTTGCTCACTTTATGATCCTTGCCATGAATCCTATGTTATGTAATATTAGTATCACTACATTCAAGAAAAAAAAGTATGTGTATTTATATTATATAATATCTACATATGAAATGAGTATGGCAAAGTGTTAAAAATCATGAAATATAAAAATAAATTGCTTTAAAAACACTGAAACCAAAATCTACACTGAAAGTTGAAAAATAATATTAATAGTTTATAACATTGTTTCCAATTATTCCTAAATATGTAACTCATTATGAGTAAAGTTCAGGTTAGTTTATATACAAGAGGCACCTTTTCCTCCTTTGCTTTTCTCCAAAAGATGCCCATTATAACATTCCTCCAAATGCCATATTTTTCCCTTTCACATCTAAAACTTTTCCATGTAATGTAAAGTTATTCTCCAAAGTAGCTTTTGCACCCTCAGTCACTGTGTATAAAATGCCTCTTGTTTTAAATATTTACTCTAGCTTTAAATATTTGACATTGCACTGACAGTACTGAAAGGTATAAAATTGATTGCACATCATTGTTTTAATTAATCATACCTTTAATTGTAACTTTTCCATTTTATTAAAAGTGTTTGTTTCTTCAGTGAAAAATACATCTTATTTTCCAAGTTCAGGGTACACTTTCCTCTAATGCAAGAATAGTTCTGTGTAGAGCCCTTTGTATTTCCATGACTGCTTTTAACACGATACCGAGTAAACACTGTGGACCTTCTTTTCTGAGTTCACTGTTCTTTTGTTTGTTTAATGAAAAGGTGCTGAAGATAAAGGTATTTTTACGTGTCATCCCTAGGTTTTGGCCTTTCTTCATAGCCTCTTCATTTCCAACAGCTTGACTGTGGAGCTCACACAGGATTTCCTCCCATACAAACAGCAGCTCCAGCTCAGTTTGCAGAATGTGAGTTTGCATGTGGTTTTCTTCACCTGTCTTTTCATTCTGCTTCAATTTCTGTCCCAGTGACCTTGGCTTTGGAGATCTAGGTTATTGCAGGCCAGTTTTTCAGAGCATGGTGATGTGGGTTGCAAATGTTTTAAGGTACTGGACTGTCTTTGTTTTTCCAGTTTCAATTTTCCCTGCCGTTGAGGCTGACTGTTGTTCAGACCCACCCTTCCACCCACTGGCACCTCCATCTAGCCAACATTTATTAAAATTTGCTAATTTACTATGTCTTTCCGAGATCAGAATACAGTCCTAAGCTACTTTCCTGGTTGGTCAAGACACTTTTGCTATGGGTTTTATTAGTACAAACATGCATTCCTTCCTTTTTCTCACTACTTATTAGAGTTAAATAAATTATATTTTAAAAGTTTTATTTATTTCCCATGGTAGTTCTCTTAGATGATCGTAGACACAGCTTTTCCATATGATGGGACATATATGAGTATGCTGTCAGATATATTATTTGATTCATTCACTTATTTAACCCTACTTAACAAATGTTTCTGGATACAGGGAGCATTTGCCCTCTGCCAGGCATTGTAAAGGGCATTGATATGCCATAATGAACATAATGAGGCATGTGAGTTTTTCTGTCTTGGAGGAATATATAGTTGCTAAAGGAGAGAGACATAGACACAGTAAATTGTAACTCTTCCTTATGATCCATACTACAGTAGTTTCAAGATCAAAGTTCTGGAAGAACAAAGAATGTAAAAGTTAGCTGTCTGGTGGAATCAGGGAAGGCATCACTGAGGTGGTAAATTTGGACTAGGTGTTATGATGCTTGAAATTCATGGATGTGTTTTTAGATAAGAAATACTGATAAGTTGTGGTATAAATAAATCTGATATATGTGTGTGTGTGTGTGTGTGTGTGTATATATATGTATATATTCAGAGAGAGAGAGAAAGAAAAAGAATATCCTCCATCTGCTGATTCACTCCCCCCAAATAGCTATAATGGCTGGGGCTGGGCCAGACTGAAGCCAGGAGCCCTGGAACTCCATCTGGGTCTCCCATGTGAATTCAGGTGTCCGAGCACTTGGGCCGTGTTCTGTTGCTTTCCCAGGTACATTAACAGCATGCTGGATTGGAAGTGGAACAGCCAGGACTCAAATTGGCACTCCCATATGGGATGCCAGTATTGCAAGCAGTAGCTTAACCCACTGTGCCACAAAGCCAGCCCCACTCTCTCATATATTTCATTCCCTGTTACAGTCTCCCTGTTGTAAAGCATGGGTCAATCCGATGCTCAGAATTCTGAGTTTTTATTGTGGCCTTACATAATTCCCATGAGGAAAAAAAATCCCCTGTTGTGGTTTCATGAATATATCATCTTTTATATTTCTCTCTCTTCTAGTCTGTACTGTCATTAAACTCTTTAAAGTTGTTGTCTAGTCACTATGCATGCACCGTTTGTTTTTGGTTATGTTGTAGCACATGCTGTCTATAGTCTCTGACCAATAAAGACTTATTCATGATAATAGTGGTGATGATGATGATGATGATGATGATGATGATGTCTTGACAGACAAGAAATCATTTCTCCAGCACCCGGGAAGAGATGGAAGAACTTAAGAAGAGGATGAAAGAAGCTCCCCAGACATGCAAGCTTCCAGGACAACCAACCATCGAAGGCTATCTGTATACGCAAGAGAAATGTGTGTGGGAACACAGGAGTACCACTGGGTTATACTAGGCTGCCACCTATTGCACTTAATATTCCCAAACTCTGGGCATGCATATCATTCACAGACCCATCTAATACCTACAACTCTTGGAATGCAGACTGGGATTAGTGAAAAGAAACAGCAAAGGGTATTTGAAGGGAAGATATGAGTTTTTCTTATAAATGCTGTGGGATGGTAAAATCTAACTGTTTCTCTGAGATTCAAAATGGAAATTTTTAGTTTTCAATCCTCATGACTCTGAGAGGTGGAGGAAAGGAGATGGAGAAATAATATGAGAGGACTTCAAATGTTCATGGAAAATATAATTAAATAGTAAAAATAAAAGATAGAAACTATTTTTCAACATAAGACGCCGGCATTTTTAGTCCATCCCCAAAGAACTGAGGGTCCTAGAAATTTAACTGTTAATGAAATCTTTTTAGCTTTAATGGCTGATGAAAAATGGGTGCCCCTTAAAGATTTTTTTTAATATCAAAGAGTAAAAATAATTTGGAAGAAGCCCAAGCAAGACTGATGTAAATGTCTAATGATTTCTCATTGAAACTTGTAAAATTGCCCTTGTTTGATGAGAGTAATGAGTTGGAACATTGTTGTGATGGAGAAATGCTCTCTGCTAAAGCTTTGCTGGGCATTTTTCTGCTAAAGCTTTGGCTCCCTTTCTCAAAACACTCTCATAGTAAACAGATGTTACCATTCTTTAGTCCTCCAGAAAGTCAACTAGTTAAATGCCTTGAGTATCCCCGAATACTGTTGCGATGATTTTGCTTTACTGTACCACTTCTGCTCTTGGAAGCCATTGCTTCGATGGTGCTTTTTTTTTTCCATCAGGATCATTCTGATAAAGGCATGAGTTTTCTTTTTTCTTTATTTTATTAAAAATATTTTTGTTAAGATGTAACACTTGCACAACCTTCATGGGGACAGTGTAATATTTCAACATATACAGTAGGAACTGATCAGGCAATCAGCATCCCAAGTTCTGCACTCTTCCTACCAGCTCTTCTCCTCCACTTCTTTAGATAGTATAGAGTGTATCATTGTGATTTATAGCACCCCTATGTGTTGTGGAACACTAAAACCCATTATCTCTATTGAATTAGGTCTTGATACCTTTTATCCAACCTCTCTCCATCCCCCTTTCCTCACCCTTCCTGGTATCTGGTAATCACTATTCTAAGTTCAGATTTTTTTTTTTTATCAATTGCGCATATGAGGTGACCATCAATATTTGCCTTTCTGTGTTTGGCTTGTTTCACTTAACATAATCTGTAGTTGTCTCCATTTTGCAGCAAACGACAGCATTCCATTCTTTTTGTAATAATAGTATTCCATTATCTTTATCCATTCATGGACACCTAGGTTGATTCTATATCTTAGCTATTGTGAAAAAGTGCTGCAAATGGGAGTTTGTTTGCTGGTATCTCTTTCATATGCCAATTTCAATTCCTTCAGATGTATTCTCAAAAGTGGGATAGCTGGGTCATGTGGTAGATCCGTTTTTAGATTTTTTTTTTTCTTGAGGAACTTCTGTACTTTTCTCCATAATGGCTATCCTAATTTACATTCATGCAAATAGTGTATAAGGAAAGGATTGCCTTTGTTCCACATCCTCACCAGCATTACTCGTTTTTTGTCTTTTCTATAGTAGCCATTCTAACTGCACTGAGATGATACCTCATTTTGGTTTTGGTTTGCATTACTCTATTAGTGACACTGGACATTCTTTCCTATATGACTTGGCTATTTGCATTTCTTCTTTAGAGAAATGTCTATTCAGATATTTTGATTATTATAGTTCATCAAAGAAGTGCTTCGGAATCTTGAACCTACTTGCTTCAAAATCCCATTGAAGGATGGTGCCACGGCTCACTAGGCTAATCCTCCGCCTTGCGGTGCCGGCACACTGGGTTCTAGTCCCAGTCGGGGCGCCGGATTCTGTCCCGGTTGCCCCTCTTCCAGGCCAGCTCTCTGCTGTGGCCAGGGAGTGCAGTGGAGGATGGCCCAAGTGCTTGGGCCCTGCACCCCATGGGAGACCAGGATAAGTACCTGGCTCCTGCCATCGAATCAGCGCGGTGCGCCAGCTGCAGCGCACTGGCCGTGGCTACCATTGGAGGGTGAACCAACGGCAAAGGAAGACCTTTCTTTCTGTTTCTCTCTCTCTCACTGTCCACTCTGCCTGTCAAATAAATAAATAAATAAATAAAATTTTAAAGAAATCCCATTGAGAGCTCTGCACTTGTTTATAGCTGATGTGGGCCCCTATCAAGCAGAAAGTTTGCACCACTTTAGTTTTTTGGTCAGAATAGTGTAAGCTGAGATGCCTATGGGATTGGCTGTTGTCTCTGCAATTCATCATAATTCTTCAATTAAGGCATGGTCAAGGTTAAATTTCTTTTTTCCTGGTAAATTGACGTGAACAGTTTGCTGCTATGGACTTCATCTTCAACATTGTCTCTTCCTTTTGAAGATGATGATCCATTTGTTAACTGATGGTTCCTTTGAGGCATTGTCTCCATAAACTTTTTGTAAAGCATTAGTAACTTAACCATTCTTCCACCCAAGGTTCATCATAAATTTAATATTTCTTCTGGCTTCCATTTGAACAGAATTCATTCTGCTTTGATCAGAGCTCTTTTCTTTTTTGAGAGAATTTTTTAAAAGAATTATTTTATTTGAAAGGCAGAGTTACAGAGAGAGAAGGCGAGACAGAGAAAGGGTGAGATCTTCTGTCTGCTGTTCTACTCCCCAAATGTCTGGGGTTAGGCTGGGCCAAAGCTAGGAGATTGTTCTGGGTCTCCCACGTGGGTGCAGGGATCCAAATACTTGGGCCATCTTCTTCTGCTTTCATACGCACAGTAGCAGGGAGCTGGATCAGAAGTAGAGCAGCCAAGACTTGAAGCATCACCCATATGGGGTGCCCCATTACAGGCAATGGCTTAACTTGCTAAGCCACAATTCCAGGCTCTTTTCAAACTGATGTTTTACTCCTCTTAGTACCTCAAACTAGATCCTGTTTATGCATGTTACCACAAGTTAGTACGAGTTTATTTTGGTGCAGATTTTTTTTTAATCCACATATAATTTTTTCTTAATGCCTATTTTCCATGAAGCTTTTGAAGAACCTTCATATTTAGTATACCTACCATGTGCCACATATAGTGCTAAATGTTTTAAAAACAGTCATATTTAATCTTTGATCTTATCTTATACCCATTTTACACATGAGGCCACTGAGGCTCAGAGGTCACCATCTGAAAGTCTCCTGAGTAAAAAATGGTAGCCCTAAGGTTAAGTTCAGGACTGTGAGATGCTAAAACCAGAGCTCCTACCAGTATACTCTACACCGGCTACTATTTGAGAATCACATGGATGCTCTTCAGGCATTTAATGACCAGCATGATTTCAGTGAACAAGACAGCATTGTTCATTGCTAAACAAGTAAAATGGGTTAATGAGTCTACTCATTAAATGTCACAGAAGATTCAGGCTATTCTTTTATGTACTTAATAACATTATGCAAACCTGTGCATGCTATTTGACTTTCCTTTTGAAATATTATTATTATTATTATTATTATTAAGGCCTGTGACTTCAGTCTCTTCTTAGAGTTATTCTACCCAGGGAGTAGGCAGAGGTTATGGGTAGCAAAATCCAACGCAATTCAGAAACAACGGCACTTCAGCAGCGATATCATTTTGATTTCCTGTTCATAGAACAATTAACTTTTCATGATTTTCAAAGATGTATTCTCTCACTTGTCAGGTTAAATATCAGCATTATTGATATTTTGAGCTGGATAATTTTTTTGAGGGGTGCTCCTAAATTTTTGTTTTATTTGAAATATCTTATAAAATATTTTAAAATAAGAGAGCCAAGGGGTCCTTAACTACTTCAGTGCTAAAAGGAATGGAAAGGAAGAGACGGAGACATCAGTAGGAGAGATAGAACATCTGACATCTCCAGGTTTTGGGATATATAGTGGTACTACTCATATGGAAGGTGGCAAAGGAATTATGTTTGGAGCAACCGAGGAGCAGATGTGGAAAGCAGTTGGTAAAAGTTAAGCTCTCCATATTTGTAGTACACAGGACAGTGGAAGGCTGGAGCTCAGGGACAGGGTGGGGCTGCATCTAGAATCTGATGAGCATGCTGTAGACAGCATCCTTCGTCGGAGGGATGATTCCAGCAGCTCACTTTTGCCTGTCTTTGTAGGGGCGTTGGGAATATCCTGGGTGAAATACTATTGCCGGTATGAGAAGGAGACTAAAACACTCACCATGACACCAATGGAACAGAAGCCGGGTGCTAAGCAGGTCAGTTCTTGTTTGTGTTACATTTTGGGGGGTTATACCTATGACTGTATCTCAGAGAAAAATGCCAGTTAACTATTAATCAAGTCTGTCACTGTCTTCTGATGCCATGACTTTATATGGTCTACTTTTGCATTGGACCAGATACCTCTATGTTGAGTGAAAATTCTCTTAGTTAATTATGTTAGGTGCTCTGAAAGTACCTCTGATTTTTCAGACATTTATTATTATAAGTGTCTGTCACATTATGCAAAGAAAATTTGCAGAAATATGGGTGAATTGCTTTTAAGAAGTCTGTACTATGGAACTCTGCAGTAGCAGGTGTTTAAAATGTGTATGAATCAATTTCCAGAATTCCATCATTTTAGGTTTATTTATTTATTTGAAAGTCAGAGTTTACAGAGAGAGGAAGAGGGAGAGAGAGAGAGAGAGAGAGCGCACCTCCATCTGCTGGTTCACTCCCAAAGTGGCCACAGTGATCAGGGCTGAGCCAGGCCAAAGCCAGGAGCCAAGAGCTTCATCCAGGTCTGCCACCTGGGTGGACAGGGGCCCGAGCACTTGGGCCGTCTTCCACTGCTTTCCTGGTGCATTAGCAGAGAGCTAGATCAGAAGTGGAGGAGCCAAGACACAAACCAGCACCCATATAGGATGCTGGCGTCATAGGTGGCAGGTTTTCCAGCTATGCCACAGTACCAGTCCCATAGAATTACATTTTTAAAAGAATTCAGCTATTGCCTAAAGTTGGAATAGCACATTCTGTGTAATGTTCAAATTCTTTATCCAGTTAATATCTTTTCTTCTGCCCTTCAAATCCTTGCCTACTTCCCAAGATGACAAGATACGTTTAACACACTGAAAATAATTCACTCACTTGGAAGAACTTGATCTTTTACACACACACACACACACACACACAAATGCAGAGATTTTTTTAAGATAAAAGCTGTTTAGTCCATTATTTGTATTCTAAAAGTAGTTCATTATGTCTCTTAGCCCTTTAACTGGCTCTCATTGTCTTAGTGCATGAAGTTTAAGTATTTGTGCTCTTTGCAAATTGTTGGAAGCACTTCAAGGTTCATTTGTTAGCCACTACATGTGGTACATGAAAATCCAATTTAGGTAGGCCAAGATTTGGAGAAAAATCGGGCCAATTTTTCTCCATTGCTAGTACTTTCCATGGAAAACCTCTCCTGTATGACTTGTTCCTATGAAATTAGAGAGAGCCAAGAATTAGTCTCAGTCTATTGAAAACTGCTTTTAAAAAAATCTTTAAGCACAAAATCACCACTGCACTTTGAATGTGAGTTGGAGATGGGATGGGACTCTGCTGAAACATCTCAGAGTTTCCAGCATTCTTACCCTTGCTGTTGTCCTGGCCATTTACTTACTCACAACCCTAAAACCCTCCTTAGTTGCTGGCCTCCCAATTACCAAAGCACTTTTCAGTTCTGGGTCCCATACATTCATCTTGTGCTACAGCATGCAGTTTGTCCCAAGGCTGTGGAAACTTAGCTGATGTGTTTGACCAGCACATGTTGATAAGCAAACGAGCCTGCAGTCTCTTCCTTTTGTTTCAATAGCCACGTTACCTTCCAAATGCTGGATGCTAAAGCTCCTCTTGTAGACAGTAGCACCATTTAGACCCCCCGTCTCCTTCTCAGGAGTATTTATTGCAAAGCCCAAGACAGACTCAGCAGACACCGCTTTCAGATCCTCCTAGCAGCTGAGAGCAAGCCCTCGTTCCAGTTTTTCTTTTCTTCTTCCTTTTTCATTGAACGGCTGCTTGCAAAACTGCCCTGGTGTCAGTCTAAGCAGTTTTAATGTAAGATTCTCTTTGGACTAGAAAGAGGAACTTGTTTCCTGAATTAGAAGATGGGAGGATGTGGAAGCCGTTACTTTGATTTCCCCGAATTGGAGCTGGAAATGATTTCTTCTTGTCAGTACTCTGACTCAATTCCTGATACTGGTTTGTGTTTTAGAAATGTAAATAATGCAAATGAATGATGTTGTAATAATAGTAATAATAATAAGTGATACGGTGATAATAAGAGTCACCATTCCTTGAATACCTGCTGTGTGCCATGCACTAACATAAGACATGTTCCATTACGTGCCCACATTGAGCCTCCAGGCAGCTCCACGCAGTGAGTATTATGAGCTGAATTTGAAGATGGAAGCATTGGCCCGCTTTCTGATTACTATGCATACTAGTGTTCCCTCTTAATTGAGCTTATCAGTTCTTTTTTGTTTAGCACTGCTCACTTTCCTGATCACCTTTCCCAACACTATTTTATTAGATCTTCACCTTTTCCATGTTAGGAAGTTGTGGTGAGAAGATAGCATGTTGCATTTTGAGTCTATGAATTGGGTTTAAAATCCTAGGTTTCTGGTCTGGTAGCTTTTACACTTTAAGGAAATTGCTTAATGTTTCTCAGTCTCAGTTTCCTCATCAGCAAAATGACAAGGATTATGGTTCAGTTCATGAACATTTATTGAGCAGTAATCATTTGCTAGGCATTAGAGGGGATAAGGGTGAATAAGATATTATCCATGCCCTTGAGGAGTTCTCAGTCAAGTAGGGAAATCAGACCTAAAAGCAAAAAAAAAAAAAAAAAAAAAAAAAAAAAATTAAATAATTTGCAAAGCATAGAGTGGGCAATGTATGGGGTTGGGCACGGATTTTGGAGCATATGAAAGCTGAACTGCAGTTTTTTCCCCATATTTGAAAAAATAACTTTATAGAGAAGGGAGAGAAGGGAGAGAAACAAACATTAGACAGAGACAGACAGACACAGAGAGAGCGCCCATCTGCTGATTCACTCCAGAGATATCTGAAATGACCAGGGTTGGTTTGAGCTATAGCTAGGATTTGGGAATGCAATTCAGGTCTCTCACTCACATGGGAAGCATTTACTTGAGTGAGAAACCAGTTACTTGAGTCATGGTGTGCATTGATGGGAGGCTTGAGTCAGGAAGCAGAACTGGCAATTGAACCCAGGAACTCTGAAGTGGGACATGTGCATCTTACCCAGTAACTTAATGTAGGGGAAACACCTGCACTTGAGCTGCCATTTGTAGGACAAGTTAGTGTTTAGCCAGACAGAGGACATAGACAAAGTCATCCTGGTGTTGTGGATGAAGGGAGGAATATATACAGAGGCATTGGATCATGAAGGCTTATGATATGTGTGTGAAAGGCTTATTTTTTTTTTTTTTGAGAGAGAGTGCCCATCTGCTAGCTCATTATCCAAATGCCCATGATTGCCAGGGCTGGGCCAGACTGAGGCATGGAGCCAGGAACTCAACCCAGGTCTTCTACATGGGTGGCAGGGGCCCAGTTACTTGAACCATCACCACTACCTCCTAGGGTACACATTAGCAGGAAACTGAAATCAGAAGCAGAGCCAAAAATCAAACCCAGGGACTCTTATATGGGATGTAGGCATCCCAATCAGTGGCTTAATCAATGGGAGAAATACATACCCCTGAATTGAGTATCTTTGGACCTATTGGGCATAAAATATGTGGGTGAGCTGCATGGAGATAAAAATAGTAGGCAGGGATTATACCTCTGAGCTGCAGTGCCTTGGAAACGTGGAATTGAGCATTGAAAGAGCAACAGTGATTGTATGACTCTGCATATTACTCTCACCTTGAAAGATTGCTATGTGACATCCCAAGTGTTGGGGGTAGGGCAGACATAGTCCAGTGTTACTTTTTAAGTTTGAATTTTAGAATGTAGGAGCAGCAAAAGTATTGGCCTTCCAGGGGTTGAATGTGCCAATGAATGAGAAGAAGTCTTCGGAGATTAGCTGTGCTGGGCTGGATGGCATTGTTTCTGTGAACAGACCTGGCACTTGGGTAATGTTTCTGAATTTGAGATAGTGGGTGGGTAAGCGTTATTCCCAGATAATAGAATGTGAAGTTAAGACTCACAGAGGGAGAATGATATGCCCAGGGACATGTAGCTAATAAATGGTTTGACAAGATCTCAGGTCTTGTTGTTGTTTTGTTTTTGATGAAGATTTATTTTTATTTATTTGAAATTCAGAGTTATGGAGAGAGAGAGAGAGAGAGAGAGAGAGAGGGAGAGAGAGAGAAAGTGCTTCTATCTGCTGGTTCACTCCTCAAATGACCACAACAGCAGCTGAGTCTGCGCAAAGCCAGAGCCAGGAGTCAGGAACTCAATCTGGGTCTCCCATGTGGGTAATAGGGACCCAAGTACTTGGGCCATCTCTGGTGCTTTCCCAGGCGCATTAGCAGGGAGCTAGATAAAAAGTGGAGCAACCAGGACTTGAACCTGTGCCCACATGGGATGCTGGTGCTGCAGTGGGTGGCTTAACCCATTATGCCACAGCACTGGCCCCAGATCCCAGGTCTTAAGCTTCCTAGTTTATTACCATTTCCAACTACCAACTTGGGTGACTTTGAATAAGCTGCTTTACCTCTCTGAGCTTCACTTCCCCCTAAGGTTTGTTGTGAAGAAAGTTGGTTTGAAAACACTGAACGTAAATTGTGACACATCGTATAGGATAAGCGAATGTTACTTTCTCTTCCTGACACCTTCAAGTGTCTGGATGTGAGAAACAGAAATGTTTGTCTCTCCTCTTCCATCTGCCACTTGAAAGGAATCTTCTTTGCTCAACTTCTCCCTAACTTTTGGAGACTTTGAAAAAGCCACTTAACCCCTTGCAACCTCCCTACTTAAAGACCTCATGAAACTTTTATTATGTACACTTAATGCCATCTGGGCAGTCCGTTCCCCCTACACTTTCCTTAGATGATGTGCGGTAAGCTTCCTGTTTAATCTTCCATGCTTGGGAAAGAGTGCTTGACCACGCTGAGCATTTTCTCCCCGTCTCAGCCATTGATTCTTGGAGCAGGGAGAAGCCATCTGCCATCTTGCTACAAGTACCATTTGAGAGGACAACGTTCTCAGTGAGTCTACACATTGCTCCTGCTGCCTTGACAGACGCCTTCCACATGACACTGTGGACGCTGCAGGAGGCAGGAGAAGCTTCTGTGCATTTTTTCCCAAAATTGTTTATCATTTTCTCCTATCAGGGGCCCTTGGACTTAACCTTGAAGTATTGTGTGAGAAGGAAGACAGAGTCTATCGACAAGAGGTTCTGTTTTGATATAGAAACAAACGAAAGGTAAGCTGGGCTGGTGTAGGTTGGCGATGTACCCACATGCCAGATGCTGAGCCTGGATAGATCTTGTAATTTCCACTGTCATTCCCTGTCAATGAAAATGAGCAAGGCTGTTCAAGACAGCCTTGGCTCAGCTCTTCTGGCAGCCTTCCACAGGGATCCCTGTTAAACCTGGCTCGGAGTTGATTTGTTTTTCTATGCAAGCTTCTTCACTTAGATTTGTCTCACCTGCTCTGGCCAGAAAAATGTCTGTTAGGATTTAATTTGTTATTAGATATGCAAAAGGTCAGCATTTGGTAATGTGGCAAGATATGAGGGGATACCAAAGCTCATGTTTTTATGATGAATATATTAATATAGCTTTAAAAATAAGTGCATTGGAACACATTTAAAATTATATTTATTTGAGAGTACCGAGATAGAAACGGAAAGAGACAGAGAAAGCTCCCATCTGTTGGTTCACAAATGCCTGCAAACCAAATGTTTGGACCCAAGGCTGGAGCCAGAAATTGGAAATGGAATCCAGATGTCTCATGTGGGTGGCAGAAACCCAGTTAGTTGAGCCATCACTGCTGCCTCCCAGGGTCTACGTTGGTGGGAGGTTTGAATTAGGAGCCGGAGATGGCAGTGGAACCCAGGTACTCCTATGTGGGCTGTGGGAGTTTTAACCACTAGGCTAAACACCTGTTCCTGGAACACATTTTGGAGGTTTGTGGTGTTATTAGGGAACCTTTTTCCTCCCACTTAGTATAAAAAGGATGCAGACTTTTCCCTACTTTGCAGATACTAATGTGAGATGAAAATGGTTTTGATCATGAACTTTCAGGTATTCGAGCCATGCTTGCAAATTTTGAACTTGGTTGCATTTGTTTCTCTCCAATGCCCTCTGCCTGCACTCCCTTCCGTGGCTAATCTGAGTGGTTTTATCAGAGGAGGATCTAACCTTTAACCTTGAAAATGAAAGTATTTGGAATGATTTTGTAGAAAGGCATGCTTTTTTGTTGGGATGTTGATCTGAATTTCAGTGAATAAGTGCATTTCTAGATTTCAATCTGTTACTTGTGTATGTTAAGTACTGAGTAATACAATTTAGCAAAATGATCAGATTCCTAGAAAGGAACTTGAAGGCTGAATTACAATATCATCTGAACAAAACTATCAGTGACTCGGATCATCTAGATCAGCCTGAGAAAAGAGGGCATTTTTAAATGCGGGAATAAGAAATCTCATGTATGCTTCCTCATTTAAAAATCAGCATGCTATTATTGGACTCACAGAATTTTGACTTGTGACTCTATGTAATTTCTTGGTTAAAAAATGGATAACCCCAGTCAAGATGGCTGTGATAGTCAATATTGTTGCTGGTAACCATGAGACTGTCACTCGGTGTTGCTGACGGTGTCAGACCCAATTGGAAGAGGGGGGAAATGACTCTTGGTTATGGTTTCCCTTTCGTGAATCTGTAGTGTCTCTGATTCCTCAACATCAAGGCGATTAAATGAGATTAAAATTTCCATGTTATAGTTCCATTCTGATTTCCCTTCTTAGTTTATTTTTCATGCTACTTGCAAATCATATCCCACAGCTGAAAGCAGTTAGGGACTGGGACAAACTTCTATTTCTTGCAACCTGGTGCTAAGCATGGCCCGTGATAAGAACTCAGTTTGGTGCTTATTTTTAAATGTGTTTTTCCTCTACCCTGAATGGTGAACAATTCTGATATTAGAATCCAGGAATTAAAGCTTTGGCATATCTATGATTGCAGTTACCACATTCTGTGCATTTTCAAAAGCATTTCCTCATGTAGACTGCTACATCCCTGTATGAGACCCAAATCCATGGAACTGACTTACCCATCTAAAGTCACATAGTGAGTGATGAGGCTGAGCTCCAACCCTGGCCTTTAGGATTCCAAAGCCCATGCCCTTTTATTTTTGTTTCATTGCTATTCTAAGCAGAATAAAGGAGCTATGAACTAGAGCACTATGTATAATAATGACCAAGTGCTGATGCACCTCTCAGCACAGGGAACTTTGCGGGAGATGTGCCATCTGCTGTCCTTGCTGGTCAGACCAATACAAGGAACAGAAGCAGGCTTATGAGTAGACATCACGCACCTATACTTGTCTTCCTCGGAGCACAGAGCAAAGGGCTCTTTGTGTTCCTTTTCCTAGGCCAGGAAAAGATTGCATTTTCATTCATGTTACTACTGGTATTTGAAACCATTGAGTCATAAACACATCAGAATTTGATGAATCTTAATAACAACAGTCTTCACATGAGGGAGGGACTTAATGTCCCTTTCACAAAGGAAGACAAGGAGGCAGAGAAAAGTTAAGCAACTTGAGTTTTCATAGCGAGTAAATGGTAATACCAAGCATTGTGATGTCCAAGCCTACACTGGTAACCCTATTGACATGCTATATGAGGATATTTTTAAAAAAATCATTGAAAAATAGAATTGAAAGATAAACTTATTTTGGTACAACGTTTTGAAGTCCTTGTAGTTTTTCCTAGTATGCATTTTCTACGAACTTTTTGGAGATGCCTACTTATAGGCCTTTATAATTCCATGTGGGTGACTGAGCCTCAGGGGAGGGCAAGGGACTTGTCTAAGATCATGAAGGTAATTAGCAGAGGATCCTGGACTAGAAGTTAGTTCATTTTTACACTTTGTTGTTCAGTTCTTAGCAATATTGTTCTTTGCATTTGACTTTCTCAAGAATTGCTAAAACCTTTTTGAATAGTCACTTACTTCTTTGTTTTCTAGCATCTCTGTAAGATCAAGAGAGAACATTCAGCAGTTTTTCTGCTTCCCAGTTAGGGAAGTAAAACTCCAGGAGGGTTTTAACAGCTATCTGGTTTGCAGTGTTTGCTTTTCTGCCAGTTGTCTCTTGGTTTTACAACAATTACTAGACTTTCTAGCTCCAGAAGATGTATCCAAAATGATAGCCACATCTTAAACTGGGAAAGAGAAAATGCCCAAAGCTTAATCCTTGTTTTCAGTTGACCAAGCTTCCAGGTAATATGGGGGGGGGGGGGATTTTCCGCTTAAGGCAGACTTTGATGAGGTAAGAGTTGGAAGGGCAGGTAGAACAGGAATCCCATGATGGCAGCACTAGAAAGGATCTCCTGGCTTGTGTATTTCAATGCTCTTAATGGAAACAGAACCAGAAGTCTAAAGAGGCCCACTGAGACATGCAGGGACTCTCAATGCTCTCATCATTGCTTTCACAATTTTGTGACCGAGAGAGAGAGCGAGAGCTCATCTTAACGATAAGTTTAAAGCAGGAAATTCACCCAGGAGAATGGATAAGAAATAAGCGAGAGGAATAAGGTACTCCTAAGAGCACAGCTAGCTAGCTAGAGAATGGAAGGAGATTTCACATGTGCAATAGTAGAGACAACCCCAAATGCCTGGTGGGTTGTAAAGATCTAAAGAGATCACAAAGAATATCCCAACTTGGGATGTCTCTGGATATAGGTTGTGTCTTAGTCTCATTTGTGCTGCTAGAACAAAATATTTGAGACTGAGTAATATATAAAAAATAGAAAGATATATTTTTCACAGCTTTAGAGGCAATAAGTCCAAGATCAAGGTTCGTGGAGGAAGGGATGGGAGGGAATGAACCCCACTCCCTCAAGGCCTTTTGTAGGGTCCTAAGCCCATCCATGGCGGGGGCTCTACCCTTGTGATTTAATCATCCCATAAGGAGCTCCACCTGGTAATACTCTGACTATGGCAATTAAGATTCAAGGCAGGAATTTATGGGAGATATTCAGACCATGGCAAGCAGCTTGCAAGTCAATAGGATCAAATCGGATTTAAGGCCATCTGCCATGTGGAAGAGGCCTACCAGGGCAGTGGGTTAAGAACATGGCACTGTTCATTGAAATCCTGTCTCTACCATGTACCTGCTCTGTGACCTTGGGTAACCCCTCTGTTCTTCTGTTTTTCCTTCTGTGAAATAGGGATGATTACAGTAGTAACTGCTTTATAGGCTTGTTGGGGGCGGGAGGGGGGATTAAGTGAGTGAATAGATGGAAAGTACTTAGGACAGAACCTGGCACCTAGCGAACATTCAATCTGTGTTAGCTGTGTTTATTATTCCTAAAATTGCTTGTCAGCCAACAGGCCTCCTCCCTGTGGCTGAGCCAGTCTGCATGTCGTTGAATTCTTTCCAACTGGAAATGCTTCTTGGCCATACTCAGTGGTAGAAGGAGCAAAACCGTTTTCCTGACAGATGACTGTGCCTGTGATGTACATGCTCACCCCTAGAGCCCAGAACAAGTGGCTGCTTTCCAAGAGAGGGAGGCAGGAAGACCCCCAGTTTGCCTCCAGCACAGTGGGGCCAGTTTAAATAGGACATACCTTGGCATTCACCATCCTGCTTTCTTGCTTGCCCTTGGCATGAGACCACTAAGATACCACATCTTTTAGGATTCCCAGAGTTCCTGTTCTCTAAATTTCCCATTAGTATTCTGAGTAAAGAGGACTTTGAGAAATTACAGTTCTATAAACCTGTGACTGCTTGGTATGGTACCACCCATGGCACAGAGGGATCTTAGATCAAGAGTCTATTTTCTTGGGTGAAATTTCAACTTTTTACTTGTCATTTTTTTCCCTCAGGCCGGGAACCATCACTCTACAGGCCCTTTCAGAAGCTAACAGAAGGCTATGGATGGAAGCCATGGATGGAAAAGAACCTGTAAGTTACCTTGGGCACTGGGGGGGGAAGCACAGCAGCACACGGCTGGTGTATGAGTGCCCTCTAGTGGTTTAAGTGGGTTTAGGACAAATAAATGGTAATAAATTCTTCATACTCAAGGTTTCAGAGCTGGAAGGAGTTGTTGATTCTACATCTCTTGTTTAACAACTGAGACAACTTGAATTCCAGAGAAGGTAAAGGACTTGTCTAGGTTCACCCTCAGAGAAGGCATCAAACTCGGGCTTGCATTACATGTTTCTCAGCTCCCTGTTCCGTTGTTATAGTAAGTAGCTATGCCAACGAGTTCTTCTTAAGAAAGAAAATTAAGCTCTTTTTCATACTAATTAATTCATAATTAAATATGTATTCCAAAAGAAGGATGGAAGATAATTTCCATGACAGTGAATAAGCAATTGTTAAACTTTCATTCAAAATGATTTTTCTGCCCCTGTCATATTCCCAAATGAGCTTACTTTCTTTAAGGATACAGCTGGTAGAAGAATTGGCATTGACATCCTGTAGCCAAAAATACTTCATTTAGAGTGAGGGAAGAAAATGATCCCCTTTAAAAGGGTTAGTGTTTATAATAGAGAGACCCATATGGGCTGTCAGAAATCATTGAAGAGCATTCTCTCTCTTCCTTATCTTCTTACTTGGGTTTCTTCTAATATCACATGTAATAATATCAGCTTCCTGGAGTCGGAATCCCAAAAACCTGGATTTGGGTCTTGGTTCTGCCATTGAATAGTTACAGCCTTGAGCAAGTAATTTCACCTGTCAGAGACTCACTTTTCTTCTCCATGGTAAAATGGCCTTAGTAATTTCTGCTCTACCTGTCTCAAAGCATTGCTTTAGAAAATAAAGTAAAAGCCATTTTGTAAGTCATAATGTGCTGTATTAGTTTTAGAGGCTCCTATCTGCTCTGAAAGATGTGTGCGAAACTACTGAGATAGAGCAGTGTTTGGATACAGTCTTATCTCTTGCTTTATTCAAGTCATAAACTGGCTAAGGTGCGAAATGCATTCCAAGATTTCCTTTTTGTGTATTTCGAGAGCACTGGATACTAAAGAAGAGTAACCAGATCCCAGATTGCATTCATAGCAGCCAGGAAGGTAGCAGAAGAGAAATGATGTTAGGAAAACTGGCATTCAGAAAGTAGCCTAGGACCCATCTTCCTTTCCCCTCACCACCTCCCTGGTGTTTAACTCCTGGGTGCCTGGGTTGTTTGTCTTGGAGGATGCTAGGGGACTCAACATAGAATCTCTCCCTCAATTCCCTCTCCTGAGTTTGTTCTCCCTTTAGATATTTAAAGCTCAAAGGACGCAGGTGGCCTTTTGAGGAAAATGTTGATAAAACATGGGCCCGCTGAATGTCGGTCTTCCCCAACTTGATTATGGCAGACTCTTCCCAAATTTCTTGTTTGTCAAAGTGACAGCCAAGGGTGGCCAGCCCAGAAATCTTTCTCACTGAAATATCCATGGCATGCATGCATAAACACAGCGTGTTCTTTGAGAAGCAGAGGTCCTTAAAGTAAGCTCTAACAGCTGCTGTATGCAGGGCTTATTTTGTACAGCTTCACATTGCTCATGTTGCTGATGTTTTACTGAACACCCCAGTCCACTAATCTTACACATTGCCTGCCTGCCTTTGTTTAAGATCTCAAAGAAGGTCAGGCCTTGAAGGGGTATCTTCAACTCTGATCACGAGACTCACAAAAATTTGGAAATCTAGTGAATGCAAAGGGCGTGCCCAGGATTTCCTTCCACAAGGTGGAGTCACATGCAGGACTTGCCTTTAAGAGTTAAAGACTCCTTTCTGATCTCAAATACATGAGAGGTGTATTTATCACGATGCATAAGACTTCAAAATGATGCCAAAAAAAAAATCCTGGTAAACACATGGGTCTCTTTCAGATGAACACTTGCCTTTCTACAGAGAAGCATCCATGAACTAGTCTTTGGGGTTGGGAAAGATTTTTTTAAAGATCTATTTATTTATTTGAAAGAGTTACACAGAGAGAGCAGAGGCAGAGAGAGAGAGAGAGAGAGAGAGAGAGAGGCACTCCATCTGCTGGTTCACTCCCCAACTGGCCACAACAGCTGGAGCTGCACCAATCGGAAGGCAGGAGCCAGGAGCTTCCTCCAGGTCTCCCACCTGGGTGCAGGAGCTCAAGGACCTGGGCCATCTTTTACTGCTTTCCCAGGCCTTAGCAGTGAGCTGGATAGGAAGTAGAGCAGCTGGGACTAGAACTGACGCCCACATGGGATGCCGGTGCTTCATGCCAGGGCGTTAACCTGCTGCGCTAGAGTGCCAGCCCCAGGAAAGATTTAAGTTTTACCATCAATGCTCTTTACCCAGTGTCCATGAGAAAACCACTTCCTTTCTCTCTTATTCTTTTGTCCTATCATAAAAATGCTCCAAATTTTACAGAAGTTGTTGTTCAAGATGGATTGGCTAGAATGCCCACAACAGTGAACTGTAGGCAATCCAGTGCAATTTTCAGAGATCATTAAGCTGTTTTCTAGGGACCTGGGCAGAGATTATTCTATTTACCCTGCGTTTCCTTCTTGCTGAAGCCCTGGAGTCTCTAGTGATTTTGACAATCTTTCTGGGAAAAGAGATTTAATATTATTTCCACTACTTACCTATAGTGATTCACAATAGCCATGACTCTTTCTGTTTTTCTTCTTTTATAGATTTACCACAGCCCCATAACGAAACAGGAAGAAAGTGAGTCATTCAAATTTCTGGTCTACTGACATGATAAGCTTCTAGCTCTACTAATCAAAGCAGATGTTATCATTATGATATGTACTATTGATGCAAGTCTGTATGTGGATGCCTCTGTGTGAATTGAAATTTAGCCCCCCCCCCCCTTTTTTAAAAAGTGTCTGTTGAGTGAAGTAAGAAAGCTCATCTTATCTTATGCTGGGGATTGAAGCGGTAATGTACAGGAAATATATACATCTTGTTTTGGATTTGCGATAGAAAGTGTATGAATTTCCACCTTAACCTTCCACATTTGTTATTGCTCATGCCTGCAGCAGGCATAATGCAGAGGGCTTAAAAAAAGCCTTTTGTATTTTAAGAGTTAAAACCATAAAATGTAACCCTAATAAAAAGGAGCTTTCCATTTAAGGGCAATTGGAGATGAGCAACAAAAACTTTGTTTCTCTCATTAGAGTCCCTGAGCATCAAGACTAAATGTTTGATGAGAGATGCTTGCTGAAGTAGAATCTAATTCTGATTTCCTTTCCTTGAAACAGTGGAGCTGAATGAAGTGGGGTTCAAGTTTGTTAGGAAGTGCATCAATATCATTGAGACCAAAGGTAGGCTCCATAGCTTTGATCTTGATCTTAATTTGCTGTAATAAAAGCATAACTTTGGTGGTGTTAATTTTGGTCACTATGATTTTATTCAGGAGCAGTTTCTCTAAAGCAGCAGTGACATCAGCTATTGGTCAGGACTCATCTTAGAGATGAAGGCCATTTATACACCTTGAGCACTGGACATAATGCAAAAAAATTTCACCAGATTCCAAACAAGTAATATCCAAGCATATCTGGATAATTTGCAGTTTGCTGCTTTTAAAGACAGAGAGCTTTGAATGACTTGTAAACCATGTCAACTATTCTGACAGAGTACCTGGGATCTCTCCAAGCTGTGTTATGATGGTTTCATCCTGTACGCATGAGTTGAATTTCTGTGACAACAGATATTGGTTTCAAAATCCATGGGAGCAAAGTTAAACATAGGCAAATGTGAGGTCACCATTCTTCCTGGTTGACAATACTCCCTACTTGTCCCTTTGAGGATATTTAGGATGTAGGTGAGTGTAGTGTATGAGCCAAGCCTCTTTTTGCTTTGGAATGTGGCTTCAGTCTTTCTCGGGGCTACTCCTGTATGCTGTTCAGAAGCTACTTGACAGTTGATATTTCCTTCTGGTTCAATTAAACCCTAGCTCCTTTCCAACATGGCAGCACTGTTCTCAGCTATCTGCTGCCACCCACCTAAGCATATGCTTCTGTTTACTGTAGAGTGACATTCTCTTCTGTTAAATGAATGAGGGCTTGGTACAATCCAAATAAAGGATGGGTAACATGAAGAGCTGCTTGAACACTGTTCCCATGTCACCTGGGAGGGCTGGAGAACTTGCATAGAGCAGGGAGAACCTTTCGTGTCTGAACTGACCGCAGTGTACCAGGACCTCCTTTCTCTAGTCAGGAGGGAGACGGAAGCTGCAGCCTTATGAACTGAATGAAGTGACGTGATTTTCTTTCCCTAGGGATCAAGACAGAGGGGCTCTACCGCACTGTGGGCAGCAACATTCAGGTTCAGAAGCTGCTGAATGCCTTTTTCGGTAACACTTTTGCTTTCATAATTCTTGTTGAGAGTGGTTTGCGTGTTCGAAAGGGATGTGACTGGAAGAGAAAGAACACATCAGTAGCGGAGGTTGTAGAATATTAAAAGCTTGGTTTCCAATGTAAAATGTACACATATTTGCCCACCCTGAGTCAAAGACAATCTTGTCTTGAAGACATGGCTGTCCTGTCTCCTTCTTCCCACGCCTCGAATCTTTTCAATCTGACTTCTCTCCTGATCTCTCTCCTCGAGTTGCTGTGGCCGTGCTGAGCAGCTATCTTCCTGTCACATCAAATGAACACTTTGCAGTCTTCATTTTGCTTGATCTTCTGTTGACTACTTTCTCTTTACTTGATTTCCATGCTACAGCACTCTCCTGATTCTTCTAACATCTTATGCTGTTCTTGTCCATGACTTACTGAACGTGTTTCTTCTTCCTGTTTTTAAAATCTTCTGAGTAGTTTCCAGAGTTCTATTTGTCCCCCTTCACTTCTTCCTCTATTTGTTTCTCTATTGATTAATGTTTCTCTTGAATGTGGCTTGCATCTTCATTTTTTATGACTAATAATCTTATAGGAAGATGGATATTATAACTCATCAAATGTCTTAATTTTGCTGGCGTTAAAAAGAGCATTGGATTCTGTTTCATAGACAGCTATTTAGGGATTTGTTTAATCAGTTTGAGGCTCCTTTTCAAATTTTGTTAGGCTAGATATAAAGAATTCTTATCTTTTTTTTTTTTTTGGTCTCTTTATTCTTATTGTTCGGAACACAAACATCTCTGAGCTCTGTGTGAGTTCTGGGACTTGTTCAAGTTCCCTGGCATTTTTTGCTTTCCCTGTGGAGTTTTACCCTGGGCTTATTAATTGACTCGTGCCTCAGTATTCAATGATAGACATGGGGACCCATAGGTGGGTTTTATAATTCCTTCTCTACATAGCAACCTCATCTCTTGTACTCTTCCCTGTAAATCCTGTAGGTTCCGGCTTTCCTGCAGTTTGATATTTGTCTCTTCAATTGAACAAAACTCCCATTCTCCATTTGAGTTCCCACACTCCCCGTGCTACCAAGCAGAAAGTGCTTTCAGGTAGCAAGCTGTGGCAGTCACGGGGATTATCATGTTCATTTTCTTTTCTTAGTGTCATAGTCATGTCCTAACCATGTTTCAATTGAGTACAAATTGTCATTTTGTATGTATTGTTCATTTTTCTAATGTTATAGCAGGAGGCTAAGCCTGGTACCAGTTGTTCCACTGTGAATGGCATTGGAAGTCCCTGCATGTAGTTTTTGCTACCACCAATAGACTGACAATTCTGCAAAATCCCTATTCCAGATATTATCTGATGAGTTCTCATCACATAATTCCCAGTTTCCACTGCACCTGTGCTTCTCAGCCATGTTTAGATCATGGCACACAATGGTCTTGTCTACTTAACATACTGGGATAAATGGACATGGCTGAGCCAATAAGCCTAAGGGCCGAGGGAATCATTAATGGAATCTCTGCACAAGCTCTCTCTACATAGATGTTCTACAGGTACATATATTTGACATGTCCAATACCAAACTCATTACTTTTGTCTCCCTATAAACGTGGTGATGTATCTGGTAAGCTGAGCTTTCAGTGTGTCAGAGAATAAACTTAGTGTGGGAAGCTTCAATGTGGATAAAACATATGTTTTGATCTTTTCTCTGATACATAGCTTAATCCCTACAACTCTGCAGGCCTGACAACCAAACTTTGTTAGCATTTGAAGATGCTATAGCATCCAGCAAATATCTGTTTTCATGGTTTTATGTTCTTCACTGTTAAAATTTAAAGTGGTTTTATTCCTAGCCAAATTATAACTGATCTCATTAGCTAAAGGATACTTTTCCACACATAAAACAGCTCACAGCATGGGCCAGGATATTTTAGTCTCTGAAAAATTATTTCCTGGAGAGCAATGAAACTAGATGTATTGGAAGGGACCTTTGAGGAAGTTGAGCCTGTTTGGGAAGTCATTTGCAGAAAAATATTTTGTTCCCACAATACCCTCACTATGCCAGAGACCTAATGATGCAAATAGAAGACGTCATAGCAAATGAAGCAACATCTCATTGCAGTGGTTTGCATTATTTTTGTTTTCTGCTTGGGTATTTCACTTTCTCATCTTCATGCTACTAGAAGAAAATACAATTTACTTTTCAGAAACCAAGTGGAATATCTACTATAATCACACATAGTTAATCGACTATGTGCACATAGGGATGACAGGAGTCATTTTTCCATTTCCATACTTAATATGAATGACTCCACATCTGAAGACAGCTTTAGCATTATGCTCAGATATATATAGGCAAAGAGATAATAAGCATATGAAATATGAATATTTTCAAGGTATATGAGATCTTCGTATATGAGAAATGCGGAGTCTCCTAGCAAACAAAACAAAAACATATCATTATTTCTGTGGCTGCAGAAGTTAAACTTTCTATTAAGCTTTAAAGTGACTCTACAGGTTGATAATCTTTATTATGCTATAGTATAGTAGGGTCTTTAATTTTTAATCTTTATCAAAGTACTTTCACTTCTAAAGCCAGATCCTTGTATGCATGTTTACATATGTATGTATATATATATGTATTTCATAAATAAATTTCATAGAGTTTTAATTCTTACTACCCTAGATACACTGATTATTTTTAGATGATGCTTGTTTTTTTTAATGTTTTTTATTTACTTATTTGACAGGCAGAGTTAGACAGTGAGAGAGAGAGAGACAAAGAGAAAGGTCTTCCTTCCATTGGTTCACTCCCCAAATGGCTGCCACGGCCGGCACTGTACTGATCCGAAGCCAGGAGCCAGGTGCTTCCTCCTGGTCTCCCATGGGGGTGCAGGAGCCCAAACACCTGGGCCATCCTCCACTGCCCTCTCGGGCCACAGCAGAGAGCTGGACTGGAAGAGAAGCAACCGGGACTAGAACCTGGTGCCCATATGGGATGCTGGCGCCACAGGTGGAGGATTAACCAAGTGAGCCACAGCGCCGGCCCCAACTTGTTTTAAACTGGTACTATTAGGGGTTAAAGTAATTATCAATAGATATTAATGTCACCTTTTAAAACTATGACTTATTTTCCTTTATTTTGAAGCTGACTTCAAAACGTTTACAAATCAACTTTGTGTTGTGAAAATTTGTTCTTTTTCTATTGTTTTCCCATGATTTGAACAATTGATATATAAAAATAAAAATCATCTTTTACTCTCAATTCACTTATTACTATTTTCTAACTTTTTTGTCAACATGTAAAAGATAGAATGGGGATTTTATTTTTCTCAAAGGTATTTTAACTTACAAGAAATAAATTCAGTTGTTGACATATCAGTCAGGGCAACCCCGTTTTCCCACCTGCTCCCTACTGCAGGAATTCTGACCTGGGGTTGGTCATCTGTCTCACCATAAATAAGAATCCTGGGGATGGTTTTATTAGTTCTGTATTGCAGCAACAAAGTGCCAGCAACTTAGACATTTAAAACAACACCAATTTATTCTGTTACAGTCCCAGAAGTCAGAAGTCTAAAGCCGATCTTAGGAAGATGGCAGCAGGGCTACAGATCGCTTCTGGAGAGAAGAATCCTTTCTCTTGCCTTTTGTAGCTTGTAGAGGATGCCTGCTTTGTTTGGCTCAAGGTGTCTTTCCGACAACTTCAGGCTGAGTGCTTCTCCTGCTACCATCTCTTAGTTTCTCCCTCTTCCACCTTCCTCTCCCACTTTCAAGGACTCTTGTGATTATGTTGAGTCCACCAAAATAATCAGAATAATCTTCCTGTCTCAAGCTCAGCTGATTCACAAACTTAACTCCATCTGCAGCCTTACTTCTCCTTTGCCATGTGATGGTTTATTCACATGTTCTAGGGATTAGGATGCAGACATCTTTGGAGAACCAGACATCTGCCTAGCACACATGTTATTCCATTCAGAGTTTAGGGATTCTGTCTTACTGATAATATTTTTTAAAGATTTATTTATTTATTTGAAAGTCAGAGTTACACACAGAGAGAAGGGAGTGGCAGATAGAGACAGAAATCTTCCATCTGCTGATTCACTCCCCAGATGACTGCAACGGTCAAAGCTGCACCAAAGCCAGGAGCCAGGAGCTTCTTCCAGGTCTCCCACGTGGGTGCAGGGGCCCAAGGTCTTGGGCCATCCTCTACTGCTTTCCCAGCCCACAGCAGAGAGCTGGATTGGAAGTGGAGCAGCCAGGACCCAAACCAGTGCCCATATGGAATGCAGACATTGCAGGCAGAGGCTTTACCTGCTAAGCCACAGTGCTGGCCTCTCACTGATACTCTTAAGTGGCTCCTGAGGTCATTCTTGGTCTGCCCTTTTGAGATGTATCATTAGATCTTTAGCTTTGGATGTCTTAATGACTTGTTGGCCCACCTTTGTTTATCCTGCATGGCTCATTCTTGTCCTGTTTTCACTGATTTCCTCAAGAGGAGTAGAAATAACTCCTTCCATTGGTGGATGGCATTTTCTTTTTTACCATCTGTTATGGGCTGAATGTTTGTATCTTCGTCAAATACATACTTTGAAAATCAGCCCCAGGAGATGGGGCCTTTAGGCTGTAACTAACATGAGATGAGTACCTTCATGAATGGCATTATAAGTAGGGGCCAGAGAGCAAGTTTTCTTTCTTTCTACCACGTGAAGGTATGATGGTATCTATAGTATGGAAAAGGCCCACACCCAACCATGCTGCCACCCCGATCTCAGACTGCCTGCCTCTAAAATGCTAAGAAATGGATTTCTGTTGCTAAAAAGTCAATAGTGATTAGTTATAATAGCTCTAACTTACTAAAAGCAGCTTATTGTCAGTCCAAGTATCATCTAGGGGTAGGGAATGTTTCTTCTGCCAAGAGCCATTTGGATATTTGGCACATCATCTAGAGGCCATAAAAATGATCAGCTGAAAAAAATTAGCCTGCTATAGATGTACTGAATTTTGAGTCCCATCT